CTCAGTGAGGTCTCCTTTTGCAGCATCCTATCCTAGCTGAGCTCTGAAGGGGCTTCCCTACCCTGCACAGAGAGCTGTGGGGTGTGGGGGAGGGGTACGGGACTGCCCAGGAACACACACCATGAGCTCTGGGGGTTGAGCACTGAGTCCTCCTCTGTCTTGTGTCAACCTGGGCAGGAGCTTCACAAATATTCATTACGGCACACACTGTTAACTGCCCTCTCAGTGACAATCCTTTTCTTGCTAAGAAAACCCTGATTTTGGTCGGGGAAGCAAAGCGCCCAGTCTTTGGGGATGAAGCCAAGCACTGGCATTCCGTTTCCCATGGCCTGATGCTTGAAACCGTTTGCAGTCTGCCTTGTCATTAGGGCTGGTTTTCTTCTGGCTAACAAGAACTAAGTGCCTCCTAAGATCTACTTCACTGGTGATAGGTCAGAGACACATTAAGAAAACTCCCCCTGAGATAGCTCCCTCCACCCTGTTTTGCTCCTGGAGGCTGAACTTGGTCATGGTGCCCACAGCTGTAATAGCCAGCCTGTGACCAGGAGGCTCCAAGGACACAAAAGCCACAACACTGAGAAAAGTGGCACATAGGATTAAAAGGACCTGGTTCCTTAGTCCTGTCACTGAGTTTCCGCACCAGCCCCTTGCCTGTTCCTTTGGAAGTTCTCGTTATGTGAGAGGATTAAATGTCTTTATTGCATAAAGCCATGAGTAGGCAGACCTTCCATTACTCACAGCTGAATGCATTTCTAATCAATGTATTTATTTGAATTTTCTTTTATTTTGATATAATTTCAAATGTGTGGGAGCGTTGTCAGAGGACGAACTTCCTTGTAGCCTCCACCAGATTCACCAAGTGTTCCTGACCACTTGGCTCTCTCTTTCCGGCATGGACATGGTGGGATATGACGTGATGCCCTCGTTTCTTCCTGAAGCCCGGAAATGTGGTTAGGGCATCCCACTCCTTCCACTCCAGATGTTTCAGCATGTACTCTCCAAGAACAAGCAGCATCTAGTGACCTAATTCAGGAAACTTAGAATTGATACCATAGAGTTGTCTAATGGTCACTAACTGTCAATTGTCAGTGGTTTCATTGTCAAGAATTGTCTAATATACCATCCACATGATCATTTTGCCAACTGTCCCAATAATATTCTTCAAAGGATCTCTCCCCTGATCCAGTCGGCATGCCTCTGTGTCTCCTTTGACCTGGGACAGCTCCTTGTCCTTTCTTTGCCTGTTGGGACATCAGTACTTTGAAGGGTTCAGGTCCATTGTCGACGGTCCCTCTGTCTGGGTTTGTCTGCTATCTCCTCAGGGGGCACGGATACTGGATAAGGATGCTGTGTGGCCTCAGGATGTCCCACCATGGGGTCCTTGACGTCCGTCTGTCCTAGCCCGGTCATGTTAACTCTGTTCACTAGTTAAGGCAGAGCCTGCCAGGTTTCTCAACTATAAAGTTACCATCCTTTCTTTTTGTCAATATCCTGTTCTTCTCCAAACTTGTACTTGGTGATGACTCTCATCTAAATCAGTTATTAGCATTATGGTTGCAAAACTGTGATTTTCTGTTATTCCTTTGACATCAATTGGCATCCTCTTGCCTTTCTCCCTCCCTTCCTCTCTCTTTCCTTCTTTCCTTCCTTTTCTGGTTTATCACTATAGATTCTCATTGTATCACATAGATTATAATCCATTAGTATCATTATTAATTCTGATGCTCACGTTGTCCCAGATTTGGTAAGTGAGAGCCCCTTCACATTGGTGGTGGGGTAATTCGACATGCCTTCATCTCCAGGACTCCTGTGTGTCTGAGCTGCGAGGGGGCAGAGATCTAGGGGATGAACGCTGGGTTTGAAGAGGAGGCCTCCAGGTCACTGTCAGGTCATGGGCTTGAGGCCACTTTTCCACCTGCAGGATGGATGCGGATGGCTCGTCGCTGCCTTTCTGCTTGGGCTCTGCTGAGCCAAGCTGAGCGCACGGACAGAGCTGGCACCTGGGGAGCTCAGGCGTGTCCCATAACCAAGGACCAAGTCTTTCTGGGTATAAAACAGAGTTCAGTCTTTTGATACCAGCTGTGGCAGGAGCACCCAAATCCTGACTGCTGTACCTTTTGATTTTGTCATTTGTCTCAGCGAAGTGAAACCGGTTGAAAATAATACCTTCAGAAGGAGGAGAATCAGGGAGTTCAAACAGAATACTTCCCAGCTAGATTAGGGAAGCCCCCTTTGTGCTAAAATGTTCTAGGCAAATCCTCTTTGGTACAATTTTGTAGGAGCCAAATGTAGGCAAAGAAGCATTTCTTGTTCCTATCCTCTGGGGCAGGGCTCCGGCTGGGATGATGAGACAGGGAGTTCATGGGCTGCCTACTTGCTTAGAGTCCTTGCTGATGAGTCTGGCTTCCCAGAGACTTCTGGGAAATGTGGCAAGGAGCCGGGGTGAGAGAGGGCAGCCACTGCTCACACGAAACCATTGTCCCCCAGCAGACAAAGGGCTTCAGGAGCCCTCCCCACGAAGACAAGATATTTAGGGGAGTCCTTCGTTGGGTTGAAATCACAGTTATGTGGACCAAAGAAAGAAAGAACGAGCAGAAAGAGCGGGAATTTGCTAGCTGTGGGATCTTGGTCCATTTACTTGCTCTCTCTGAGCCTCAGTTGGTTTCTTGTCGAGGTCACTCCCTACTGTTACACTTTTCCTTCATAGCACCCATCACGGTTCTAATTGTACATTTATTTGGATAATTCTTGTATTAAAGTCTATCTCTAATAACCTCGTAAAGGGAAGGGACAGCACATTTTTTATACTCCCTTGTATTCTCATGAACAAAACAGCTAAGAGGTAACAGGTGCTCAATAAGTACTTGCCAGATAAAAGTAAAAGGAATTGAAATTCAAACCTGTTTCCAAAACCCAAGTCCTTTTCTGACATCCTAAGCTGGTGTTCTCCAGGAAGACAAGATGGATGGAGGTCATTCCAGGGTGAGGGATTGCCCTAAGGCCCATTGGGGAAATTATCACTGGTGTTTTTTTGTTGGCCGGCTTGCTTGTGTTTCGTGGTGGTAGTGGTTTGAATCTAGGCTGTAGGTGGAAGAGGAGGGGCAGGAGAACATTTGGAGCAAGGGGGAGATGACTGAAAGACTTCACAGTGCTTACCTGACAGTTAAGGATCAGGGACCCCGAGGAGATACTGAGGGTTTTCCATCTGGGGGAATGGTATGATCAGGTACATCTGAGAAAGATCACTCTGCCTGCCATTGATGGGAGGGTGGACAGAGGATCAGGGCAGAACCTGGAAGCTAGCAGCGTGTCGCTGTAAAACAGCGTAAAGAAGACACAGTCCAGTCCGGGATGGGGTGTCAGCGGAGAGAGGAGCGGATTAGCTCCTAGGAGATGGGGAGAGAGAGGAAGTAAGGATGACTCCCCAGGTGTAGGTGCAGGCCCCTGGACAGATGGTCTCGCCACCTCCAGCAGCAGAAAGCACTGAAGGGAGAGAAGATTTGAGGGAGAAGAGCTTGGGGAAGGCCGGGCAGGCTGAGTTGGTCCAGCAGGCAGATGGGGGCGGGGTGAATGGGGCAGGGAGGTCTGAGTGGAGAGAGAGATTAAGGAGGGAATGAGACAGTCCAGTCCCTGTTTCTAGACCTCAGTGCAGGGCAGCTATATGCCTCAGCTCGTTCACTCCCCAGTTGTCTTCAGCTGAGCTTAACCCAGGCAGAAACTTGGCCCTTCAGAAGGGGAACTTGTCTGCTGGAGGGAGGAAGCATGCTATTCTTTTCAAAACTTTGGGCTTTGGATCATCGGTTCAAGCCTCAATTGCCACTTCTGTTAAGCACTGAAATATTAATCCATCTTTCTCAAGGTTATAAAAGAGAAAGACTGAGACGGTCCAGCAGGCAGGAGGCTCCCAGCCCACTGGAGGCAGCCTTCCTCCTCCTTGTCTTCTGGACTCATCCAAAATTATTCCCCAAAGGAAAAATCTCTTAAAGACAGGGGAGGGGGGGTGATGGTGGGCAAGAAGACTCTCCCAAGAGGTCAGGTTAAGCCTGAATTTTAGAATGGATGATGGGGATGGGGAGGGGTAGTTTAGAGAAAATGGTTTCTAGGAGACATGCTTCCTGCATGCTTTATCTAGATGTCGATTTCATTGAACCTTACACCACCGGGAAGAGCAGGAGTCATTAGCCCCTTTTGTGGATGAGAAAACCAAGACCCGGTGAAGTTTAGGGCGCTCAAGGTCACGCAGCCAGGAATGAAGTCCCAGTTGGAACTGGGGTCCGGGAGAAATCTAAAGCTGCCCCCTACCTTACAAACGCTCTTTCCCAGTGTAGAAGCCAGCGATTCCCCCATCCCTACCCCACCTCCCCGTTCCCCAAACGGGTATGGGGCCAGGGCACCAGGGCTGGATCAGGGACCCCTTGGTCTTCCCGGGGTGTGCTTTCCATGGCACGCGGAGAGGGTCTGGCACGCGAGCGCCTCTCGGACCTGAGGATTCACCTCCAGACTCCGGCGACGGAGCGCGGAGAGTGAGCGCGCCCGGGTACAGGTGGGGCGGCTGCGCGGGAGATTGGGGAACGCGGAGGCGCGGGGGCGCGGGCCCCGGGCGCAGACGGCGACAGAGGCAGCACAGTAACCCTCACCCGCCGCCGGCCTCTCCCGACCCCCGCCCCATCCGCGGTGCCTGTTGGTTCTTGGCTTCTCCGGCTGCGAACCAGACACAGCCACAGCCACCGCCGCCCGGCACGCATCGGCCGGCTTCCTGCTCCTGGCGCTGACCCTGGAAGGGCGCAACGCAGCCACGGACCCGGAGGCGCTCGAGGAAGCCAGAGGGGTCCCCGCGCACTCGGGGCCCTGGCGCAGCGCACGGTGAGCGGCCCCCGGGGCTCCGGGATCCCTTAACCGCGGGTCCCGGTGCGCCAGCCCCGGGTGCCCGATGGGTCACCCGGGGGGCGCAAGGCCGAAGTTGGGACCTCACGCGGCCCGCCCCCGCGGCCGAACCTGACATGCTGCCGCCGGGGCGCAACGGCACCGCGGAGCGGGCGCGGTTCCGGCAGCAGCAGCTGGCGCAGCCGGGCGCCGCGGGGGGCGCGGAGGGGGCGGCGCCGCTGGGGCCCGCGCAGGTGGTCACCGCCGGCCTCCTGACCCTGCTCATCGTCTGGACCCTGCTGGGCAACGTGCTGGTGTGTGCGGCCATCGTGCGCAGCCGCCACCTGCGCGCCAAGATGACCAACGTCTTCATCGTGTCCCTGGCTGTGTCCGACCTCTTCGTGGCGCTGCTGGTCATGCCCTGGAAGGCAGTCGCCGAGGTGGCCGGTTACTGGCCCTTTGGGGCCTTCTGCGACATCTGGGTGGCTTTTGACATCATGTGCTCCACCGCGTCCATCCTGAATCTGTGCGTCATCAGCGTGGATCGCTACTGGGCCATCTCCAGGCCCTTCCGCTATGAACGCAAGATGACCCAGCGCGTGGCGTTGATCATGGTTGGCCTGGCCTGGTCCTTGTCCATTCTTATCTCCTTCATCCCAGTTCAACTCCACTGGCACAGGGACAAGGCAGGCTCCTGGGGAGGGGTGGAACCGCCATCCAGCCTGGCTAACGGGACACCCCGGGAGGAAGCGGGGGAGCCAGAGGTGAGGGCAGAAAACTGTGACTCCAGCCTGAATCGAACTTACGCTATCTCTTCGTCACTCATCAGCTTCTACATCCCTGTGGCCATCATGATCGTGACCTACACGCGCATCTACCGCATCGCCCAGGTGCAGATCCGCCGGATTTCCTCCCTGGAGAGGGCGGCGGAGCACGCGCAGAGCTGCCGCAGTCGCGCGGCCTGTGCCCCGGACACCAGCCTGCGAACATCCATCAAGAAGGAGACCAAAGTCCTCAAGACTCTGTCGGTGATCATGGGGGTCTTCGTGTGCTGCTGGCTGCCCTTCTTCGTCCTTAACTGCATGGTCCCCTTCTGCAGTGGACGCCCGGAGGGTCCTCGGGCTGGCTTTCCCTGTGTTAGTGAGACCACCTTCGACGTCTTCGTCTGGTTCGGCTGGGCCAACTCCTCCCTCAACCCCGTCATCTACGCCTTCAACGCTGACTTCCGGAAGGTGTTTGCGCAGCTGCTGGGGTGCAGCAACCTCTGCTCCCGCACCGCAGTGGAGACCGTGAACATCAGCAATGAACTCATCTCCTACAACCAGGACACCGTCTTCCACAAGGAGATCGCAGCTGCCTACATCCACATGATCCCCAACGCCGTGACCCCAGGGGACGGGGAGGCGGACAAGGAGGAGGAGAGCCCTTTTGATCGTGTGTCCCAGATCTCCCAGACGTCCCGGGATGGTGACCCTGCTGCGGAGTCTGCTTGGGAGCTGGGCTGCGAGGGGGAGATTTCGTTAGGCAAAATAACGCCTCTCACCCCGGATAGATTCCATTAAACAGCATAAGGAGTGCCCCTTGTGGATCTACACAGCAGCACGGACATCAACGAGCACACAGAATTCACACTCACCAGTACATTTCCAGAGCTGCCCAGTGGATCACATTTTCTGTGTCTGAAGAATTGGCAGAAGCATTTGGCATCAACTCAGTCAAATATACCCCAGCCTAACAGAAACGGACCAGTGTCCAGTTAGAGAAGAGAAGGTGGTGTTTGATTCTTAAAAAAAAAAAAAAAAAAAAAAAAAAGTAGTAGCTGGTCTTTAAAAAATACACTCTCCGCTCCCTTTTAAACAATTGAATTGATTAGTCACTTATTTTTGTTTGGTTGATTTTTAGACAACAGGATCTATGTGGGTGTGTCGTGCTGCTGGGATGTATGTGGCTTTTGTGCATTTTGCTTCTTGTGGCCCTGTGTTATTGCAGTTTCTGCTGTCTCTGTGTCTTTACGACAGCTGATGAACTCTTTCTGATTTGTTCTGGTGTCTAATAAACACAAATTTATGTGCATGATGGGGTGATTATCTTTGCTTTGCCAGATTGGTTTTCAGGACAGTTTCTGGAGAAATCACGAGAGTATCCTTAAAATCAGGGAAGAATTTGGCTTGGTCTGGAAGCACATCTTTATTTTATCTTTGCAGACAGGTTGGCCTTACGGGTACACACAGGAGCAAGGACCGTGAAGAGCTTCCAATTCCTCTGTTTTGTTTTTTAGATACACCCATCTCAAGTCTGTGCTGAAAGCCGGCTTCAGTGATACAGCATCAGATAGGAACTCCTGTGCCCTGGAATTGTAATATTTTTTCTCATTTGGAATCTCCTGTTTAAATAACATAAAATAATTCTCCCAGTTCCTCCCAGATCAGTTCATTGAAAAGATCATAGAGCATTAAGAGCTGAATCTTTCTCAATCTCAAATCTGTAGTGTTTTAGACTTACATGGCTTTTGATCTGCTTTCTGAAAGTCTCTGAAATGTGTGAGCTGATATGCTTTAAAAAAAAAAACAAATCTCATTTTTAAATAGACATTTTCATCTGTAGGCACCAGGAAATGAGAGAATGCACTTTAACAAAAAGGTAGGCGCCCGAGATGATATTTGAATGAACTTGAAATGGGAAAATCTATTGGTTGAGGTGCTCAACATGAAAAGAGCCCAAAGACTTTCAATCTTTTTGTTCTTCTCTGCAGCCTGCGTGGGGAAGAGAAGTGTTTTATGCCATTCCAACTGAGAGCATGTTATTACCACTGGATCTAAATGTGAGCATTGTTAATGGAAGCAAATGAAATCTGAATATGTAATTTCTTACAAGTCCCTACTCTGAGGCAGGCTCATCAAGGACAGTTCAATCAATTTTGGTCTCTTTCGGGATAATTTTATTGTCAGTCTACTAAGCAACCACATCTTGTTCATGGCAAGATGTACCGTACTTGACACATAATGCTTCATAAATATTTGGTGAATGAGTACCTCTGGAACACTGAAGTTGAAGCCAAGTCCCATTCGGTACCTCAATTTTCATACAGAATCTCGTCATACTGATAGGAATCTGAGGTCTGTGTTCCGTTATTGGCCGCTGGTAACCTGATCACTTCTGTGGACCATTAGGGAAACATCGGGGGCCGTGAGACGTGGTCTTGCTCTAGGATTCAGGAGATGGCTGCATGACCTTGAATGAGTCCAGTAACCTTTCTGGGCCCTACTTTCTGTCCACATCTGTAAGTTGAAACACTTATACTGAAGCAGTGTTTTCCAAATTGTTCTTTACTGTGCAGATGCTATGGTGGGGGTTTCAGGTGGGGTCGCAGGTTAGTGCAGCAAACCTGGGGAAAATAAGTCTTTTCTCTACAGGGCTTCTTAGAGCTTTTCTGTGCTGTGTGAATCCCCAAGCAGGAGAGAATTCTGCATTGCTTTCCGATGTCTTTGACCTTGTGAATCCTTGTTTGGCTCAATTCGTTACTCCCTTTTCTCTGGAGACCACAGCTGCAGGGAACAGGGTTTGAGAAACCGAATCAATCTGGATGTCTCTTAAGTTTATCTAATCTATTCTAAAGGACCCATTGTCATAAGCAAGATTTTTTTTTGTTTGTTTTCATTTTTTTTTTTTTTTTTGCAAACCTGTTCTAGGCCCCAGTTTAAACAACTTCTGTTGTTTAACAGAAGGAAAATGGATTATGTGAGAACCTTAAAAATCCCTTTTGCAAAAGAGCTCCAATCAGTTCTTGTAATTATTTATACCCACTCTGTGCTGGGCATTGTTCTAGGAATGTGGTCACCAATCAGATACTCTGGGGTCTTGAGCTTCTGCTTCAGCAGGAGGGAGACGAGCGAAGGATCACTACCACACTGCCCTGTGGTGTGCGGTGTACGCGGGGCAGTGACAACTGATGGGACACGAATGGCCCAGTGTGCAGAGTGGGGAAGCTGCTGTCTGACTTCAGGTGGTACCTCTCAGAAGAGGCACGATGCAGAGAGACCCAGATGAAGGAGGAGGGTCAGGCGATGATAAGGTCTGGGTGGAGGAGTGCTCCAGGCAGAGGGAATGGCAGGGCGAACTCCCAGAAATGGGACTATGCTTGGCACAAGGGGAAAAGAGAAAGGTGGTGGGTGTGGCTGGAGGCCAGGATGGGAGAGCAGCAATGGGCCGGCATTCAGGGCTGGGCACCTCACACACGCTAATACATTCAATGTTCACAACCCTGCGAGGCAGGCACCTCTTTTACTCCCATTTTACAGATGAGAAAATGAAGGCATTAGGAATCTAAATAACGAGCCCAGGGTCATATAGCTCATGAGTGGCTGAGCTGGACTTGAACTTGGGCAGTATGGTCTTGGAGTCTTTAATCTTCACACCCTGCACTGGTAAGGAGGGCTGCCAGGGCTTTCCCAGGCAGCAGGTGCACTGCTGCTGGGATCAGAGCATCCCTTGTCCATTGTTAATGAGCTGGTTACCTGACACTTTCCTAGGACACTTTCCACATGTAAGCCAACCTCCACTGTGCGCCAGCTCTGAACATTCTTGGTGTTTGGAGGGGAGGCAGCAGAGGGCGGTGGAAAAAAGAGCCATGTCCTGAGCCTGTATGTGGATGGCCAAGTGCTTTCCTGATTCTACTTGATCCTTTCGTTAACCTCACCTACTGTCATTTGTCCGTTTTACAGAAGGGGACACTGAGCCACAGAGGGGGTAAGTTGCTTATCCGAGGTCATATGACAGTACGTGTTGGAACAAGTGTTTACACTTGATCCCGTGGTTCTCCGTGGGGGTGATTTTGTTCCACAGGGGACATCTGGCCATGTCTGGAGACACTTCTGGTTGTCACAGCCGGGTATGGAGGGTTCCTGCCATCAACTTACAGAGAACAGGACAGCCTCCAGCACAAAGAATTCTCCAGCCTGGAGAGTCCCTGAGGCTGGTGGGCTTCGGAACCCAGTGGTGGCCGACAGATCCACAGCTCCGGGATTCTGAAGCTCCACAGCTTGCAGTCCAAATTTTAGCCCCCACATTTATTAGTTGTCTGAATTTGGGCACCTTTTCTAATTCTAGTTTTTTTTTTTCCTAAGATTTTTTTATTATTTGAAAGAGAGAAAGAGTGAGCAGGGAGAAGGGCAGAGGAAGAGGGAGAGAGAGAATCTCAAGCTGATCCTGAACTGCGTGCTTGGAGCAGGATGCAGGGTCCATCCCAGAATCTCAAGTTCACGACCTGAGCCAAAACCAGGAGTCAGACGCTTACCCTACTGAGCCACCTAGGAGCCCCTCGTTTTAGTTTCTTTATCTGAGAAATGGGAACATTAACCCCAAAGGTTTGGAGGAGAATTAAATGAGTGTGTACATCACTGAGGTTATTTTTGTGTTGTTCTTTCTCTTTTTCCTCCTTAAAAGAACTCCGTGGCTTGATGCCGTTTAAATCGACCTTGAGGTTTTCTATCGTCCTAGAAGCTGAAGCCCTGAGAGCTGAGAGTCATTCTGTCTTGGCCTCACGGTCTTCTTGGCCTAGAAGAGTGTCTGGTATGGTGGAGGTGTTCAGTGAATGTGTGTCCCCACCTCGGACACACACACACACACACACACACACGCACACACACCAGTCTTACATGCTACAACTGAGTGAGTAATTAGGTGTTTACGCAGCAATCCCAGGGTGGTGGTCCTCACATTTTGGGCTAAGCAAAGGCCTACAGGGCTGAAAGCCCCACACGGAGGGTTATTATCGTACAACATACCCAGACGCTCTTTTATAACTCGGAGAGGGCTTCCATATTTCCCCCAGAGCCCCATGAATATCTGGTGAGGTCCTTCCAGCCTGACTATGGCAGAGATGAGACAAGCTGACCAAGGACAGGGAATGAGACGTCCTGAGATTCATCCAAGGTCACCCAACCAGGGACGCTCACACTAAATCTGAAGGTGGCCATACTTCCTGTGCCCTCCCCACCGCACGGCATGGAAGGAATGTGTGACAACAGGGGAACAGCAGGCATGTCCTTAAAATTCGTGCCTGACTGTCCTCACCCTCTCCTGGCTCTGTGTGACAGCAGGAATGATGTGTTCCTGTCACATGGTGGCATGTCCTTAAATTTGGGGTTGTCTCGTGCTCCCTGCTGTGCAGATTCAGACACGCACTTTGGGCAGGAGCCCCACAGAAGCAGCGCCCTGTTCCTCTCACAGCATCGTACCGGGGAAGATGCTGTCACTTTCTGTCACTGGGAACGTGCGTTCTGGTCACCGGGTGATGGTGGTGAATATAAAGTTACTTGATACTCAATACAAAGATACTTGATAAATATCCTTTGGAGAGATACTTTGAGACTACGGAAACAACCCATTAGCCCTCAGATTTTACCCACTGGCGTTGGCATCTATGAAAGATCTTTCCCTGAATCAATTATTGTTGTGATTGCCAGATGGGGTATTTGAAAAATTTCCATCATCGTTTTACTGTTGGCTTTTTTTTCTGCAAGGAAGGGCATTTATTTAATTCATACCTGTGTAGACTCTTGGA